TCTTTTTTTTTTTTTTTTTTTTGTACTGGGGATTGAACTGGGGACCTTGTGCTTGTGAGGCAGGTGGCAGAACCACTAAGCTAAATCCTGGGCTCCTTAGCCCTTTTTATTTTTTATTTTGAGACAAGGTATATATAAGTCACTAGCTGGACCCAAATTTGAGATCTTACTGTCTCACGCACCCTCCCAGAGTGTTGAGATTATAGGTGACACCGTTCCTGGCTTAAACATTACTTTAAAAATAATTAAACATTTATAGAACTTGTGCTACGTTAAGCATTAATGTTGAATTCACTGAAGAAGAAATGGTTCCTGTCCTCTGCGAGATCACAGTGAAGTAAATGAACAGTGCACAAATAAATACTACAGTAGAATATAATGGCCATGATAGGGCTATGCTGTTCTACTGTGGGCACACTAGAGGCAGGCTGGCTTCAAGTTGCTTGGAAGATCCAGTCTTATATCCCTAGCTCGTTGTTCTGAATGCTTTCTGATTGGCCTTTGCCCGTATTACTCCATGCCATGTACTGTACTTGTACTGAACACCTCACTTACAGTGTTGCCTTTCATGACCTTTACTTTTGCTTGTACTTTATTATTTTATCTGTCTTAGGTGTCTGTTTCTATTTTTTGCCTGATACACTTTCTGCTCACCTTTTAAATCCGAGCTCAATCCCAAACTGTTTTAAATTCCTGTCCTGCCTAATCCATAAAGAACAGTTGCTCCCTTATCTGTGCCCACATGAGTATTCGCATATTCTAAGAATGGTCACAGTACATTATTTGTTTATGTCTCTGTCTCTCCCTTTAGACTCATTGCTCTTCATAGGTACAGAAAGCTATTTAATCACCTTTGATACTCAGGTGCCATATTAGAGCAAAAATAACAAATATCATGAGTCATAATTAACTTTGCCATGTCACTTAGCATTTCTTTTGGTTTATACGCTAATATACTTTCTCCATTTTTTTTTTTTTTTTTAGACAAGGTCTCACTATGTAGTTCAGGTTGGCTTTCAATTTACTATGGAGCCCAGGTTGGCCTTGAACTTGTGGTGATCTTCCTGCCTTAGCCTCCCAGGTCCTGGGATTGTAGGCATTTGCTACCATGCCTGGCCTTTTCTCCATCTTCTTAATGCCTCTACCAGGCATTCTCCACCTTTATTTAGTGTAATTCTATTCAACTCACAAAGGGCATGTAGTAACACCTACTATGTGCTAGGTATTGTAGCAGGCACTAGAAATGCAAGAATGAATAAGATCTGCCCTTGCTGGGAAGGAGAACACAGATAACAGACAATTATTGCAATTTCTGCAAGTACTAAATGTGCTAGATGCTGTGACCCTGGAAAACAAGGGTGTTTTAGGGTGTTACATGCAAATTATAACTCACCTAGTTGGTTGGTGTTGGAGAAGACTTCCTAGAGGCACTGCCCTCTGTTGTCTTGAGAAAAGGAAGAAGCAGAAAGAATGTAGCATGGAAAAATGTGAGAGAGTAAGGTACTCTGTGGAAACTGTAGCTTGTTGTGTCTGACTGGACTAAGGGTAGGGCTTGAGCAGGGGGAAAGGAGAGTTTAGACTGGACCTACAGACAGGGACCAGATTGTGAGGAACCTTATACCATACTCTGAAGAGTTCTAAATTTGATCCTGAAAGTGGTGGAGAACCACTGAAGAAGTCTGAGTTTCAGTCGGATATATGTTTATAATGTTTTATAGCCCCTGTGTTTCCTCCTGCTCTCCTTTTTCAAATACTGTCACATTCATTTTGGTTCTTTCCCCTGTTTAGAAGTGAGGCTTTGAATTTTTTCCTTTCTTTGTTCATTTGGGATGCTTTTGAGCACTTAACTCTCACCCACCTTTTAGTGTTAACCTGTGAGAAAGGAAGATTAAGTAGACATGCTATATCATTTCTACTGGTATTCTGTGTGTTATATTCTATGTTAGTCTCTCTCTCTCTCTCTCTCTCTCTCTCTCTCTCTCTCTCTCTCTCTGTCTTTCTTTCGGTGGGGGGGGGTACCAGATATCAAACTCCGGATCTTGGACTTGCTAAGGAGACACAGTGCCACTGAGATGCATCCCCAGCTCTAGTCTCTCTTTCTCATGTCCTATTCAAACTTGATGTTGTGTTTTATCGAACTCTTGAGGTATATAAAAGGTTCTAATGAGTAACAAGAATTGAAGTAGCCACCAGGTGTGATGGTGCTGTAATCACAGCACTCAAGGGACTGAGACAGGATTGCGAGCTTCTGCCCAGCCTGGGCAATTTAGCAACTTAGTGAGATCCTGTCTCCAAATAAAAAGTAAAACATAACAGGGGGTAAGAATGCAGCTTAGTGCAAGGCCCTGGGTTTGATCCCGAGTACAGAAAAAAGAAAGAAGAAAGAAAACCTGTCAAGCTAGAAGTCTAGCTTCTTTTTGGCAATGTCTTTATTAAAGAAGGACATGAAACTCTTGATAAGCCATAAAGAATTAATTTCATGATTAATTATTAATAGCTATAAATTACCTAGTATTATATATAAGACTAAATTGTATTTTAGGATAATTTTAGAATAGGCAGACCTGGAAATTTGAGATTTCTGTGATGTTTGCCTCACAAAATTTATCATTTTTTGTTATTCAGTAAAATTGACCACTACCTATATGTTTAGCTTCAGCCAATATACCTTGTTGAGCTTAATTTTCTGCATGAAAGCATGATGCTTGGTAGATTATTTCTGAAGTCTTTTTATTTTATGGTTTCTAATAATTTTCTCGATAAATTATTTTACATACAGTGCTCACATGGTCTTCTGAAGAAGCCATGGGTAGCTGTTGTAGCTGTCCAGGTAAAGACACTGTCCCAGATAACCATCGGAGCAAGTTTAAGGTAAATAAAACCAGCTAAGCTATATAGCTCATTGCCTACTTTATGTGCTTCTTTTACTTCATTTTATATATCTTATCTCTTTACTTTATCACCAGGCTCTTCTGTTTCCCTTTTTTCCACTCTCATCTTTTCCTATTTGAATGAATGACTTTTTCTTACTGGCAGTATGGAATTATATTAGTCCATTTTTTTTTTTTTTTTACTTTAATGAGATTCTGGAAGCTTGTGAGCTTATAAAGAAAAGTGATTTATTTAGCTTACAATTTTGGAGTCTGAAAGTCTAAGCAACACAGCACTGGCTCTGACAATGTCCCCTGCGACTGTGTCACCTCGTGTCCAGTATCATCACTGTGATTGATACCATCAGTGTGGTGGGTGTTCATGTACGAAAGGTAGATCACATTGAAAGACAGGAAACCAGACCTACTGTGGGTGAATTGGGGTCCCACAACTACATTAATCCTTCTGACGGTGCACCCCAATAGCCTAAGGACCATCTCAGCTTCCCATACTGATTCTCATAAATAGGGTGAAAACAAGAAACATTGCCATGCCAAGGAGCAAGCCTTCAACACACAAATCCTTGTAGGGGACCTCTGACGTTTTGTTTGGTCCTTTATATCCAGTTAATTATGGAGTTCTGGCAGTATTTTCCTTAAAATGTCATTTTTCATGTACCTTTCTAGTCTCATCACCACCTGTGTTAATTAGCTTTCTGTTACTCAGAGAGATACCTGGGATAAACCAACTTGAATAGAGAAGAGGTTTATTTTAGCTCAGTTTTGGAGGTTTCGGTCCATGAATTATTGACCTCATTGCTTTGGGACTGTGGTAAGATAGAACATTGTAATGGAAATACATGGTGGAGCAAAAGAGGATAAGGAAAGGAGTGGGGTCCCACTGTCTATTTCAAGGGCACATCCTTGATGACCAGAAGACTTCCCGCTGGGCTCCACCTCTTAAATATTCTACCACCTTTCTGTAGTGCCACAGGCTGAGAATTAAAACTTTAACACATAGCCTTTGGAAGACACTTAAGATCCAAGCTATAGCAGTACATTTCAGTCATTATTTTCATGCATGTCTACATGCTTTCTTAACTGTTTTCTACTTCAGTCATCCTGTAATCCATCTTGTGTTTGCATTAAATTAATATTTTATTGTTCATTAACCTGTTTGCTAAAACTCCTGTGGTGGTCTGTTAGCTATAGGCTAAATGTTCCCACAGGTGTTTAGTGTCTCTTGCAACCTGACCTCAGTGTCCTATAAGTCTTAGCCTCTGGATTGCACAAACCTAGTGTAAGTCACACCTGTTACTTTATAGCTTTGTGACCTTCAGCAGGTTACATTATCACCAAATGTTAATTCCATTTTTTGTACAAAGGACACCTTCAATGTAGGGTTGCTATGAGAAAAATACACGGAAAGCACTTTGCCCTAGGAATGTTTGCATAAATCTTATCTTTCAGTCTTGGGTCCTTTTTGAAGCTCAGCAGTACAAGACTATTTGCTATTTGAACTTTGTGCTAGTCTTATTTTGGTCTCTTTGAAAGGAACCTTCTGTTTTTTATTTTAGCATCATATCTTCATGAAGTAGACTGCATCTCCTGAGCCAACAGATTTTCCTTCTTATTTGATTTCCATCTGAGTTTATTTATACCCCAGGTCCAGCTGAAGTTCTTACTCCTTTCATATGAAGTTATCTCCAGTGGCCTTAGGCGACAGTAACTGTTTTCTATAGCCTGTGTTGAATTTGTCAATTAATCATACAGTGTTGTGGTATCAACTTTTTTTTTGTATCTTGTTTTTCCAGTGGGAATGTAAATTCCTTACATATAAGACCTGCACACATTATTTGATGAACTAACAAATGAGCAAATGACTAACCCAACCAGCAGCAGTGGTTTTCCTGATGAGTTGGTGAAATGTGTGTTTGTGTGTTTGTGACCTTTTTAGGTCATTAATGTGGATGATGATGGGAATGAGTTAGGTTCTGGCATAATGGAGCTTACCGACACAGAACTGATTTTATATACTCGAAAACGTGACTCAGTAAAATGGCACTACCTCTGCCTGCGGCGCTATGGCTATGACTCAAACCTCTTCTCTTTTGAAAGTGGTCGAAGGTGTCAAACTGGGCAAGGTAAGTAAAGCCTTTGTTTTCTACAAATATTACCACATTTGAAATATTCTTTCAGTTACTCTCTCTATGTAGTGTTTAACTTAGTATTGTTTCTTCTGAAAGAAAATTCCCCAAATAGGTTAAAAGCTGTAATAAGAAATGTATTTATTTATCAAGCACTTATTAAGCACATTTTCTATATCAGAATTTTTGACGTGTGTTAAATTTAGGATTTTCAGTAAATGATTGTTCTGCTAAATTGACTGTCTTTACTCCTTTACCTTGGAGAAAGAACTAAATTTTAGAATCATAGCACAGCTTGGTTTTGTCTTGTTTTTCTATTTACTGTTTGAATATGGCATCTTACATGTTCTCCGTTAAACTTTAGAAAAAGGTAATGGTACTAGGGATTGAACTCGGGACCTTGTACTTGCAAGGCAGGTGGAGGAACCACTGAGCTAAAGCCCCAGCCCCTCTTATAGCATTGTAATAATTAAACAAGATGGTTGTAAAACCTTTAGCAAGGATTCCCTTTAAATGGTAAATGAATCCTGGTGTGGTGGCACATGCCTTTAATCCCAGCACTCCCGGGGCTGAGGCAGGAGGATCTCAGTGAATTCAAGGCCTTCCTGGGGTACATAGTGAGTTCAGGGTCATCCAGGGAGGGAGGGAGAGAGAGACAGAGAGAGAGAGAGACAGAGAGAGAGATTGCCTTGTTAATGACGAGGAGACCCCCCTGCTGTTAAAAACAGACTAAAGTCTGCAAATCTTTGTTTTATGCTATCTCCTTTAGACAAATGAAAATTATTCTGTAAACTTTTCTTTGGAGTTTTTTGTTGTTGTTGTTGTGTTTTTTGGGATATATTTAATATATACAGTTTAATGACACTCGTTGGAAATCTGTACCTTTACATATTCAACCTTGGTTCTTATTTTTTACCCATTCTCCTACCCTTCCTTCAACCCCTCCCTCCCTCCCTTCTACAGACTTTGTTTCCATTCTTTTTCATTTTCTCATATCATATTAATATGAGAAAATAGAGTTTATGTTTTAGAAGAGGGAATATCATTAACTTAACAGAAGTTTATTTAAAAGACCTTTCCTACTATTGGCACAAGGAGTGCTTACTTGACAGTTTTATTCTTTAACACATATTCTTAGAGCTGTTTTAAAGGTATGCTTGCCACTTTTCTCTCTTGGTTTGTATTTGTAGGAATCTTTGCCTTTAAGTGTGCCCGTGCAGAAGAATTATTTAACATGTTGCAAGAGATTATGCAAAACAATAGTATAAATGTAGTGGAAGAGCCAGTGGTAGAAAGAAACAATCATCAGACAGAATTAGAGGTTCCCAGAACACCTCGAACACCTACAAGTAAGTAACAGTTCCCCTTACACCTTGAATGTCAGAACCTTGTAAGCTATAAATTACGAATATTTATAACATTCTTGAAATCACCATTGATTTAATGAAGTATAATGATCATCAGTGTTTTTAAAACAATTCTTAGCTTGTAAGCATTTTAAATGAAAACATTTATTATTCCATATCATTTAAAATACGGGTGGAGGTATTATTTTACTATAATTTCTTTATGGCTTGTCCAAAACACCTTTCTTAATCTTCGGATTGGATTCTCATTCACTTTTATTCTCTCTGCTCTACCCTTATCCATATCCTGGCTTCTTAAACCAATAAACAAAAACTCAGCTCCAGGGTTTGTTGCTCAGAGCTTACCTAATGGATATCCTCGATATCCCTCATTTGGAGATGCTTCATCTCATCCTTCAAGCAGACATCCTTCCGTGGGAAGTGCTCGCTTACCTTCAGTTGGTGAAGAATCTACACATCCTTTGCTTGTTGCTGAGGAACAAGTAAGCTTATGCTACCATGTAACAGCACTAATAAATATTTTGCAGTTAAAGTGTTACTGTGTTCTTGATATTATTGTTTGAATTTTAACTTTTCACTGTAAGTTGCCTTTGTAGTGAGCAGTTGTGGAAATAGTATATATTTACGGGCATATGCTCAAATATACACAAGGAAACACCATTATAGTAGTAGTTTGTGGGTTCCTAGAGATGCTGCTTTTGTGTTTTAGTCTTGGAAATCAATAAACAACTAGAAGGGTACACTTTGTTGTTAAGGTTTTGATGACTTAGTATTCTTGAACTAGTTTTCACTTGTGGAATAAAGTATCTGGTTGAACATTATGTAGTAATTAGTTAAACTAACAAGGTTTTCTTAATTACATTTTATACAATTTTCCTTTTCAGTTTTGAATCTTTAAAATTTTATGTATAGTCTTTCAAACATTTTTATCTTGTCTCTCCAAAATACCATATAGCTTTTCTAAGTAAAGATAATTTTTTACTAGATGTTATTGTTTTATATGTATACATTTTACAGAATACTTTTCTTTACACTTTTGATTCTTTTGAGACAAAGTCTTGCTGTGCAGTTCAGGCTGGTATTGAATTTTTAGCAATCCTCCTGCATCAACTTCTCGGGTGCTGGGATTAGATGTGTGCACCACCATTCCCAGCTTCATTTTACAGAACACTTACATTAGTTTTTTTTCTTTATGTAATTGGATTATCAGTAAATAGTAATAAATTTACCTTTTCTTCTTTAATACTTACTTCAAGGGTAACACTGGGCATTGAGCCCAGGCACTCTTAATTGCTGGGCAAGTTCTCTGTCACTAAGTTACGCCCCCAGCCCTTTTTATTTTTATTTTATTTTGAGACAAGTTCTGGCTAAATTTCCTGAGCTGGCCTTGAACTTTGGATCTCCTGCCTCTGCCTCCTAAGCAGCTGAGGCATTTGAATAGTGCCATATATTTGCTTGCCTATGTTCAAATATGTGAAGGGAAACAACATTACAGTAGTATGAGTTCACAGGAGAGGTGCATCTGTAGATTAAGAAAGATATGACTTAATGGTCGATTACCATTATAATAACCTACAGATTATATATAGGCTTCCACTATTGTACATGATATTATTTCTTATATACTATTCTAAAGCATCATGAATTTATAGAACAATAGCAAAATAATTTCTATTGTATTCCTGATTTTTAATCATATATTCTATGTTTCACCATCAAATGCTGCATGTTATTTTAAAGTAGTTACTCTTATGAAGTCATTTTTATATTCCCTTTTCTCCACTTTTTTATTAAAGTATGAAAGTTTTTAAGTAAGCCTACATTTGGAGAAGAAGTTAATAAAATTAATTGACATCAGTCTTTTTTGGTCTCATTTTGTTTTTCAAATGTTATTTATTTAATTCTCTTTCATTTTAGATACATACCTATGTCAACACTACAGGAGTACAAGAAGAGCGGAAAAACCATGCAGGTGCGCATGTCCTATTGGAGGCAAGGGTTTCAAATGCTGAGAGCAACACACCAAAAGAAGAACCCAGTAGTGTTGAAGACAGAGACCCTCAGATTCTTCTTGAACCCGAAGGAGTCAAATTTGTTTTAGGACCAACTCCTGTTCAGAAGCAGTTAATGGAAAAAGAGAAACTGGAGCAACTTGGAAGAGACCAAGTTAGTGGAAGTGGTGCAAATAACACAGAATGGGACACTGGCTATGACAGTGATGAACGCAGAGATGCGCCTCCAGTTAACAAGCTGGTATATGAAAATATAAATGGGCTGTCTATCCCTAGTGCCTCAGGGATCAGGAGAGGTCGACTGACATCCACTAGTACCTCAGATACCCAGAATATCAACAACTCAGCTCAGAGAAGAACTGCATTATTAAACTATGAAAATTTACCATCTTTGCCTCCTGTTTGGGAAGCCCGCAAGCTAAGTAGGGATGAAGATGACAATTTAGGACCAAAGACTCCATCTCTAAATGGCTACCATAATAATCTAGATCCAATGCACAACTATGTAAATACAGAGAATGTAACAGTGCCAGCAAGTGCTCACAAAATAGAATATTCGAGGCGTCGGGACTGTACACCAACAGTCTTTAACTTTGATATCAGACGCCCGAGTTTAGAACACAGGCAACTCAATTATATACAGGTTGACTTGGAAGGTGGCAGTGACTCTGACAATCCTCAGACTCCAAAGACGCCTACCACTCCCCTGCCACAAACCCCTACAAGGCGCACAGAGCTGTATGCTGTAATAGACATCGAGAGAACTGCTGCTATGTCAAATTTGCAGAAAGCACTGCCACGAGATGATGGTACATCTAGGAAAACTAGACATAATAGTACTGATCTGCCCATGTGAACCTGGAAAATATTATGTTGTTTGCACCTTTGTGAAGTTTTTAAAAATGAAGATGCAAATGCTTCATTTTCATTTCTACACTAACTCCTTTTATAGACTGATAAATTTTTTTCTGACTATTTCATGTGCATCTTTAACTAAAGGGAATTACTGTAGAGCAGGTACTCCTTAACACTAATTTCGTTATATACTATTCATTGTTGTACAGCAGCATTCCCATTTTCACAGTGCCTATTTAAAATGAGAGTTGAAGTGAATGATGCTGGTTGATTTTTATTCAATATTTTGGATTTATGCATATCTTTCATTTCTAAGTCATGGTTGGCATTTAAAACTTCTTACAAAGCCTCTTGGTAATGTGCATTGCTAACAGGTAACTCTAGGCTTTGAAAGTAAATTTGTAGATCAGTGTTCACAGAATGTGGCCTCTGGCATGTAACACGAAGAATCCTTTATTTCATTGAGTAAAGGCTTTTGATTTGAGCCAAAATGTCTAAAGGAAATGAAAGTACCACACCTCATTGTATACCAGTCAGCTCTTTTGCCTTCAGTGTTACTAGAAAGAATCCTATGTCGTGAATATAGTTTGCTGTTGTGTTGAAAGGTAGGCAGGAGACAAGATTTTCTGTTTACTCATCTCATGATGTCGTTTGAAGGACATGTCCAGATGTCTCACTCTGAATTACACTAGGCTTAAGAATCAGTCTCAGGTCACTTTACCAAGAAACATTTGAAAATCTGAACCAAGATCTCTTGAAGTTTCTATCCTATAGATTATTGATGAGGCATTGTTTTCTGGAGGCATCTTTGCTGTTAGGTTCCCATTTACCTTTGGTTTTTATTTTGGTGTTTGGGATAACTTACTGTGTTGCTTAATATCTTTTTCAATTTAAAATGTTTGAGTTTGTATATAGTTTTGAAATTGGATTATGTGTTCACTGTTAGTTTTGCATTTTTGTCAAATTATGGTTTTGAAAGTTCATTTGGAACTTGCTGTTATTCTGTAACAGGGTTGCCCTTGTCCAGTATTTATTTATATGCTGTTTACTTTTCAAGTTGATAAAAGCATTCTTTTGATTTTAAATTTCACTTGTGTCCATAGATGATCTCTTTAGCAGTTGAGGGAAAAAAAAGGAAGGTCCTTTTAACATGCAGAGTTCTCCAGAGATACTGCATATTCTCTGTGGGCACTCTCCCCAGCACTTTAGCAGGGATTTTCTTCAGCTACATGGCTACAGTTGTACTCGCTCCACTCTAGTATTCCTCAGCTCTGCTGTCCTTTCACTTGTAGCTGGATCTCTGATTATCCCTTAATTTCAGTGGTATGTTAATATTGTTGCCAGCATAGCAGGTACAGTGGAAGTCTTGTAGTAATGAGATTGTGTCATAATTTAGGATTTAAAGTGAACTGAAGTTTCTATAAATTGATGAGTCCAGATATCAAAACTTTCAGAAAATCAAGAATATTCCAAATTCCCAAACAGTAGAGAATACAAGAAGAGTGAAAAGAAGGTGAAGTAACTTTGTAAAATAGTGCTGTTTCTCTAAATATAAGGAAGTTGGAAGTTATGATCTGGATCTGTCAAATGTTTCTAAGTCTAATTTAGCATGGAAAAGTTTCGGTCTTACAACATCTAGGTTAGTCAGTAAATAACCTATTTATAGGACAATGAATGCATTAGCAGAGCAATAGAGTGGGACCATTAAAAAACTAATTACAGGTGTCTTTATCATTTTCAGTGCCATTGGTTTATTAGCATAGCAAAATTTTCTGCTTTTCCTTTTCCCCACCCTGTGAACTTGGTGCTTACTAAACTGCTCACTGTTCTCTTTTCTTTTAAATAGTTTGCTAATTGTGCCAAATTTATGTAGTGATTATTGTAATGTGGAATAGGAATTGTGATGCAGTGATTTTCATTGAAACAAGCAGTCACAGCAGAACACTAATCTCCAAATGAAAGGGCTGATACATTTATTCATTTTGGAGGTTGGATATTTTATTCTTTTTTCCCCTCCTTTTTACTTCCAGATTCTAATTAGTTTTTATATTTTTTAGGTAATTCTAATATAATCATTAAGTTTTATGCTTTAAATACTGTGTGCTTTAAGAATGAAAATGGGACCAATTTGTCTGCTAAGAATTTGATTTTAGGGTACTATAAGAATATTAGGAAGAGATATTCAACTGGTGTTTATTCTAGTTTTCTGGGTGTCATCTCTATTCCTATTTTAAAAAAATAATTTAGAATACTACTTGCCCTTTGCAGTAGTCTTGTAATGGGCATTAAGCTGTCTTGGAAGAGTGTACCTATTGCTAGGTACATTTTAGAATGAGATATTGTATTGGCATATAATTATGGCCAATATGTCTCAGATTTTCTGAGATGAACCTAATTTTAGGTACCCGTTTTTGTTGATAGACCACGTGATCCCATTATGTGCCCCACCCCTATAGAAGCCTCTTCATCCATATAGATCATAACAGCCATGTATCCAGATCAGGGTTTGAAGCTGATATGGGTATTACCTGTGTTTTTCTTAGTGTGTTTCATTTCCCAGTTTCATCTTTTTAAAAAAATGAAAATATGGTGCCTTCCCTCCCTCCAGAAGATTGGCAAATAGTTCCTTTTATTTACTGCTGCTGTGGAGTGATGAGATATGCACTTTACTCTTGAAGACTCAGTAAAAAAGCTTTTCATTCCCAGTATATCCACAATAGATCACATTTAGGACTTAAGAAAATTTGCCAAGCAATCTTTGTTTTTATAAATATTAATGTTGACCTTCAGTTCAGTGTTGTAAAAATAAGTCAAACTGGTGTTTATCCTCCCCCCATCTGTGGCACAGCATATAAAAATGTACCTCAATAATGTTCTATTAAAAATGGGACAGGGGCCTTATGTTTTCATAATTTCCCAACAATGTGCCACCCTGTACTTGCCTCAAGGGAAAAGTTTTAGCTAGCTAAAAAATATTTCCCAAATCCCCAGTGGTGTTCCTAACCCATAATGCCCAAGTGTTCTGTGTGATGTGTAGTATGTGTGTATACATATATATATTCTTGAAATAGACCTACCATCAGAAGTAACTGATATATTGGCATGCCATTCATATTTCTGATAATATGAGGTATATGGTACTAATTACCTTTTCCTTGATGTTTGCCAAATTTGAATAAAAGCAATGGTACGAAATTACAGAATGTATAGAAAATGTTTTTGGCTTGAAAAGTTAACAAGATTTTATGACTTTACACAATATATTCTGCCCAAACCAGCATCCTGTGTTTTTCTTGTTCTTTACATCTCAATTCCCCATCCCTACTTCCTCGTTTTTTTGGGATATAACACAATTCTTTTTGTAGCATCATTACAGTTACAATTCTGAGACAATTGGACAGTTATAGCATGGAAATATACTGATGGTAATAGTACAGTAGTCACCAGTGTGCCACATTTGCATTAGTAAATGCAAAATACACATTTTATAAAGGACAAACTGTTATGTTTTTATTTTCATTACATTGTATAATACTGTAAGATTATTGTATGTCCTAATTTGTGTTATAAATGTGTTTTTTTCCTACATAAAGGCATAAATATAGCAACTTTGTATAAAGGTAGTTTATTAGATTTTTAATTTTTTCTTTTATAAAATTGTCTTAACAGTGGGACTACCATTGCCAAATTGTATATGAAATATGAGTTTTACTCCCCTATGGCTAATTTCTTTTATAAACATTCCTATTTCTCTAATAAAAGACATAAGTGATACTGTACTATGCATAAATTGTATTTTAATGCTGTTTCATATCAGCATTTTACATTTTGGTTTGCATTTTTAATATTGGCAAAACCTAACCACTGTTAATTAAAAAAAACCTTGTATGTGTAACATCATCATTTACCCTCTATCCCTTCCCACTGTTTGTTCTCTATCTCTCCGTATTAGTGCCAACTTCATACATTTTGTAGCATGGCAATAAAATTTAACTTTGACATTCAGGCCAAGTGTGGCTTTTTGGAGGAAGTGGGGAAGGGAGGATTACCCTCTAATTGTCCTTTGCATATAATTCTTTTTGCCATATGAGCCATATCATCAGGCATGAGAAATTTTAAATGATGTAAACATGCTTTTAAGGACAAATGTGAATGTGCTTTTAAGCTTTTTGTCATAACAAATAACTAATTTTTTTATCTTTGGAAACTCACAGTTCTTGAAATACAGTAAAATCTTAACTGGAGTGAAGAATAAGCTAATTAGTAATTGAATTCGTTTAATAAGGGCTAAGCAACACATTTTAAAAATATTTATTGTAGAGTATATTAGTATACTTTACTGTCCTAAAAATTGTAATATGGAAAATACAGCTTAATCTTAAATGATGTAGCATCTTGCGATGCCTTACTGTTGTTATTCTGGCATAAATATTCATGATGAGGTACTCAAGTTAATACTGGAAGCTGAACTGACTATACACTGACCTTAAGCATTCATGAAAAACTGCTTTGTTGAATAAAATCTGATCAGAGTTCTTATGGTCATTTTCCCTTTTTTGCCAAAAGTAGATTGCAATAAAACCCCAATAAAAGTTTCATTGGACACATTTAAAGTTCTACTCTATTTATATGTCATGCATTACTTGAAACTTTTGTAAGCTTTATTATTGCTTCCATTTTCAAAGTGTACATATGCTATGTTAAAGATAATGTGTTTATTTGACGGACTTTGCTTTGATTTTATGTGTGTGATGATTCAAATTAGTGGTTCTGAGCTCTTCAGATTCCAGGGTGAGGTTACAAAGCAACCCCAATGGAGGTGATATAAGTAATGAGGAGAACAGAGAAGTCCACAAATGATTGGGTGCTCGCTGTGTACCAGACACCACCAGAGAATCCCTTGAATTGGTTTTACTGTGGTGGCAGGTTGCACTTTGGAAAACCAGCACATTTGTCCTCAGAATGTGAAACTTCTTTGGATTATTATGTATTTTTCCTTTGAAGGTTTTGAGGACAATAGTGATTCTTTTGTGAACAAGGCCCTGCACAAGTCATGAAGGTAGCAGTCCTTGTCCTCAAAAGAATTTGTAGTTAGACCAGCCCTTCTAATGGGGTCAGTGCTGTTACTGTCTCCAAGAGAATTAAGACCTAAGACATAAATTGTATATTATAGAGTATCTTCAGTCTGATACCTAGAATGGTACTAGCTATAGCATATGCCTTTAGGTAACTGTGATAATTGTCATTCCAGTTCTTAGTAGTGTGATAAAGGTACATAAAAAGGATACACACTTAATGCACCGTGAAATATTCAAGCAGAGCTTGGAGAAGGTAATTCCTGAGGTGTTTGTATGAGAAATTTTATAGGTTACAAGAGAAGAGGATGTCTTAGGGAGAAGGAATGGCACGTGAAAAGGCACAGAGGCACGGAACAATGTCATGGTGGCAGGAGATCCCTTCTGACTGCAGCTATGGTTCAGGGACAGGGTGAGACACAAAAGAAACAAAATAGATGCAGAATGCCAAGGAGTTTTTGTTTCTTTTTAAAATTGAAAGGTGAGAATTTTAAACATTTTAAAAAAATTAACGGGCGTCAATATGAAAGATACATTAAAAGGCATAATTTTTTTTTTTTTTGGTATTGGGGATCAAACTCGGGCCCTTGGTGCTTGTGAGGCAGGCAGTGGAACCACTGAGCTAAATCCTGGCCCCTGAATGACTTTTGGGGGGGGGGTTACTGGAGATTGAACTCGGGTCCTTGCACTTGGCAAGGCTCCAGAACCACTGAGCTAAATCCCCGGCCCCTGAATGACATTTCAATAAAACAGGAAGACTGGCTAGGAGGCTTTTTTAGAAATGGAGCTAAGACTTGAGAAATGCCTATCTAACAGCATTGCTTTTTGTATATTTCTTTAAATTTATTTTTTGGGGGGAGGTACCAGGGATCGAATTTGGGAGCTTGCAAGCAGGTGGAGGAACCACTGAGCTAAATCCCCAGTCCAAATGAATGTTTATTTACTATAACTCAATAAACCACACTGAAACGTGGCAGTTTAAGGCTGCAGTCATGCTAAGAATTTTCCAGGTTACTACAGATAAGGATGGGCAGAGGGCAGCAGAGATGGCTTGTCTCTGTGACATCTGATGTTTGGAAGAGTTCTTCACCAAAGTCACTAGAGCTTCAGCTGGAAGGAAGGTCAAATGGGCTGGCGGAAGTGCTAGTTCTAGTTGGGTTCCTGGGTTTTCTTCCAGGTAGTTCTTGGGTCTTTTTTTCTTAACATGGCAGCTGAGGGTGTCCAAGAGCTCAAAAATAGAAGTTGCTAGGCTTTTGTTTGTTTTTGGTTTTATTTCTGTAATGTTCAGGATTGAACCCAGGGACTCAGGCAGGCAAGGCTCTACCTGCTCTACTAGTGAGCTACACCCCTGCACTCTCCTGCTGGGCTTTCTTGAAGTCTAACCTCAGAACTGGCACAATGGCAATTCTTCATTTTATTGAATTATAGACCCTGTCCAGGTTTATGGGGAGGAAGGGCCGGCATTTAGCTCAGTGGCACTGTGCCTGCCTCTCAAGCACAAAGTGGAATTCAAGACCTTGTCTGTGCAAGGCATGTTCGGTACCACTGAGCTAGTCTCTGGCCCATAGGTTATAATTTTTAAAAAACAGTCCACAGTTGTTCAAAGTTCTTGCCTAGAAATCCTGGAGGATTGCACAAGTGATGCCTAAATCTGAAGCTGAGAAGCCACCTGGGCAGTGTCAGCAGGTTTGTATAATTAACAGTATTCCAAGGACAGAGTCAGCAAACACCTGTTATACTCAAAGCGAAGATCAGGGCTTCCCTGATAACAGCAGCCATTCCCAGTGACAGTGAGCTCGTCCAACGACAAGAACAGCCAAGTTCACATCAGGAAAACCAGCCATGGCAAGCTTCTCCAAGAAAACCCACAGCCCCATAATCTTCTCCAGGTCTCTTATAAATTGAAAGTAATTTATAAGAAAAGCAGAGATAGTTGTACTCAAGATTTTATTCAAAGTACATTGGAAAATGAGTAGGTTGTATGCTCTCAACTTCAGCATGGAATGGCATGAATGCAACGGTCAGATGCAAACTGCAAAAGCATCTATCACTGGCTTCCATCACTGGTGACTCAGCTATTTCATGCAGTCGCTTTCAGTGATAGGATTTTTCTCCTGAAAGGTTTAATAACTCAGAGTTCTATCAATAAAATAGTTTATCCTCAACCTATACCTTATTAGCATACCTAAAATACTGGTTTTTAAGTAAAGCCTCTCTGCATACCTAGAAGACAGATTGAAGATTTAAGCTTATTACATCATAGGCAGGTTTGCTAAACTATGGGAATAAAATAAAACTATTAAAAATAAATAAATCAATAAATCACGCAATCATTTTTATAACATAAAAGAGCCGCAATCAGGCATGGTGATATGTAATTACAGCACGTGGCAGGCTGAGGCAGGAAGATAGCTGTGAGTTAGAGGCCCATCTGGGATACCTAAGTGGATTCTTTTGTTTTTCAATTTTTTTTCCTGGTGCCGGAGATCAAAGGACCTTGTGCTTGTCAGGCAGGCATGGAGAGCCTACATAGTGAACTCATCCCCCGCCTAGATAGTGAATTCAAGGCCAGTGTGAAGTACATAGCAAGACTTTATCTCAAAATTCAAAACAAAAATATAAATAAAAGGGCCCCACATATTTCTGAAAATTTCACTCCCACCCACCAAGTGGGTCAATGCCGTCCCACTTGAGAACCACTGGATCCAGAAATTACTTGTAAACACAAAGAATCAACAAAAGCCAATACGTATCTAAAAAAACAGTTGACAGGCTGAATCTGACTCTGCATAGCTTGCTAATCCGTGGTGTAAACCCACTTGAGAGTATGTCTCAAATTAGACATAATTAAGAATTGAAAATACCTCTGTGTTAGCCATGATCACTCATCCAGGAGCTTGCTAAGTGATCAGTTAGTCAAAGGAAGAAAACTTGGTATCAGTAGATGATAGAAAACCAACAGATTTATTTATTATTTATTTTTGTGTTTTGAGAGATCTCCTTATGTAGCCCAGGCTGGCCTCTATCTCTCTGTGCTTCTTCTGCTTCAGCCTCCTGAGTGCTGTGATTTTGAGCCTGTGCCATCACAAGGTCTGTTTTTTGTTTTTGTTTTTTTTTCCTTCAACCACAACGTTTTGCTTTAGACATCTTTTAAGAGGTCAATTTAGGAAAAATAGACTGTTTTTAATAAACTTAAGTATCTGGGATGCATCTTGATCTCTAGTTACTTCTGTCATTGGAGGAAAACAAAAAAGAGTGAACTGCAAAGCCTTCTGAAATGGGTAAATAGGGCAAAGATGTCTCCTCGAGTGTTCACAAGGCCTTGTCCTGAACAATTAGTGTCCAACTAGAAGTAATGTTTTAAAATTCGTTAAAAGGAAAGCAAGTCTTCTCTGGTAATAAATAATGTTTAAAATTAAAATAGCAACAAAATATTATTTAGGAATATGCTGGTAATAAAAAATAAAACAAATCAAAATAACTCAAAGAATTTAAGCCGTTGCAGCTGAGAAGAAACTAGTTTTTTTTTTAACACGACTTTATAATACAAAATTTTAAAGATTACAATTTTATTTTTTTTGTTTTTTTTTTTTTTTTTTTTTTGTACCGGGGATCGAACTCAGGACCCGGCGCTTGACAAGAAAGATTACATTTTTTAAAAACATTGCAGTGGGAATCCCGTTGCTGTGGCAACCCCCGCTGCGAAGCCTCTTTGCTGGAAGGAGACGATTGTACTCTAAATACCAGGGCCCCCTCCTTTCTAGACTAGCGGTTTACACCGCGGGGGAGGAGCGTGAGCCGAGGTCCTGCCCCCTCCGTGAAAGGGGTTGCATTTCCGGTTCATGGGGCGTTACTCAAAAATAGTACGAGGGCGGGCTGGAGTGGCGCGCGGGATGGGCCCCTCCCCTTTGTGTGGGGCTGTGACGTCACTTCCTCCTTCCTCTTTCCGCTGGCTCCAGGGCGCGCTCTGTGAGGGAGTGGCTTCTGTGCCGTATTCTTCGGAACCATGGTGAGCCTGGCCGCCCGCTTCCTACCTCCTACCTGCTGGTCCCTGCCCTTGCCTTGCTGTGTTCGTGTAGCCCCGCTGCTCCTCCCCTCCCAGCGTCGCAGGCTTTAGTGTCGGTCTCCCGGCCTCGCTGCACATGGCGCAGGCCGCTGCGTGAGGCCTGCGCGGTCCGGCGGGCGGCGCACGCGAGGCTCCTCAGGAGCAACGCTGGTCCGTTCGGCCTCGGTCTTTTGAATGCGGCCTTTCAGTAGCCCCGGGACCCCGGGATCTCCGGGACCAGGGCCTAATCCCGAACAAAGAATTTCCTAGTGTCCGGCCAGCTCCGCCCGAAGCTTGGAGGGCGAGTGGGAGCTGCCCGAGGGTGGGAGATGGAGGCCTGGGCCTGGCGGTCGTTCTGCGAGCCGCGTGCAACCTCTGCCTGCCTCATACTTAGTTTTTTTTGTTCGTTTTTTTGAGACAGGGTCTCACTATATGGTTGAGACTGCACAGGCTGAGCTCGAACTCGCAGCGATCCTCCT